CAGAAGATCCGGATCTTTATTTGGATCTGTCTCACCAGATTTGAAATTCAAAAACCTCTGTATTTCTATCTTCACAAATTCAGGCTGTAAATGATTCAAGCTTTAGAATATTAAAGTCATACGTATATATTCACATTGCTCAAATTCGCCACGCCAAATTCAGATACCAAACAATTCTGGTCAAAAAAAAAAAAATTCAGATTCAACATCCGGGACACTAACGATAAGTGATTCTGTCTTAAATCAGACCAACATCCAGCCAATCAACCACAGAGCTGCACACACTCATAAGTATCAGTCCACTAAACATAACTTTTTCATCAACTATTCTGAGAAATCAACGAAAATGAACGTCTTTGTGAATATTCAGGTGGGAAAAACTGAAACTGCTAAAACCTTAAGTACAAATAACGTTTACTGCAGCTCAGTGATAACAGTGTTTAAGTTCTCAGGATGATGGAGGCAGACAATGACACAACAATTACAGTCATACAGCTCTCACCTCTGACCCCTTTTTCCTCCGCTCCCCGCTGCCATTAGCCAAATCTATATCTTTGCAGCTGTTGTCAGCCCCCTCCCCCGCCATCATCCCCCATACATTTATTCAAACACACACACACTCTGGCAAAACTGCAGCATCGTCTGCCGGCGCTGCCGCTGCCCCGTCGGAGGTCTAATTGGAGCAGATTGAGCCACTGTCCTGTGACATATGGTTCACAGCCCTGACAGCGCAAAACAAAGGAGGGAGATCCAGGCAGGTCCTGGCCCCATCACAGACTCACCAGCTGGGACAGACAGCCTCTCAGTCTCACACAAACACACACACACACACACACACACACACACACACACCCTCCGTCTTCCAGGCTGAAGTTTAATCTAAAACATGAGGTCAGAATGCAACATTGTGGACATCAGTTAAACACAGCGGTGAACTCGGCTTCAGGCGTGCTGGGCCGGCATATCTATAAAGTATTAACCTGCGTGTCAGAGCCTTTACCGTCCCTCTCTGTGTGTTTGTGTCGTTCAGGGTGAGAGGGTGTTGTGTGTTATGGGACTGGGTTCACCGATACAATATGTGATCAACCCTCAACGACCTGACCTGAGCACCAACACTGACCCAGGGACAGCTGGGCAGACTTTTTGGTTTGGAAGTTCACCCTCAACGTTCGTGATATCAGAACGAACCACTGAACTTCAGGGCTTGAAAATGAGTTGGAAAAGCAGCGTGGTTCAGTGACGTAAACATAACAATAAAAAGATACACATATAATATACAAAACTGTACAATGTGACACAGAAACAAAATTAATAATTCATATGATCGTTGGCTGCTTGTACCCAGTACCAATCTTGCCCACTAGAGGCAACCTGTTAGGAATGAGTCAACATTAAATAAAGTATTGGTGCGTAATGAGCTGTAACTGAGCTGCTGCGTACAGTGCATCACACAAGATAATGTGCGGGTTATATGTATAAAGGCCGACTGGCTTTAAAGCAGAATCTCTGATCGTATCTGAGATGCTGCTTCACAAAATGAAATGTTACCTGCTTACAGCTTCTCTCAGTTTTTCTTCCACTTTCGAAGATGAAATAAATCTCTATTTGGAATGTCTGAGGGTGAGATAGAGATGTACTTAGGAATAGGTACATGGCTGCCAAGTCAAGCAATTCTTTTCTCCTGGAAGGGAAAAGGCATCACTTAGAGTCAGATGAGGAATTACGACAACCCCACATATCACTAACTTTTTGGCACCGCTTTATTTCATCTCTTGGTTTTGGGGACTTTTCAGCAGATGGTGGAATCAACAGCCCGACAGTGACAATTAGCTCTGAGCTGCTTAGGTTCTATTTTCAGTCCTACAGGAACAAAGACCTAATACAGACGTCAGTCGCTCATGAGCAGCGTATGAAATTAGCAATAAGCCTTCAATAACATAGCTGTCATTTCCGTGACTGATTCACAGTTTGTCTCACCCTGTCAGAACTGGATTCCATTATCTTTATCTGCTATGACGGAGCATTGATTTCTTTAAAATCATCACAATCACTTTGGGCACTGCTAAACTCCAGATGCAGGAGTTTTGTTTAGGTTGGGCTCATTTTGATAGAACATCTGCACGTGGGGATAAGATCACTGCCATTGCAATGGATGATGCACGGGGTCCTCCATTATTGTGACTTTGGGGGATTTTCAATAAGTGCTTGAATGGCTGGGCATACGCCAATGGATCTCTCATTATAGGTTTGGACCGAGTTCCATGTGTATTCTGGGGGTTTGTCATCACTAGCTCACTGCAGATGATAAACTATGTTTTGGAAAATTACACTTTATTGATGACCGTTGGACAAACATGCCAGGATGTCGCTTTTAGACAGAAAATGTTGAAAACATAATATCCGAGATCCATTACAACCATTCGCCTAAAGCTCAGAGCAGGCCTGTCTTATTGCATTCTTCAGAACTTGCCCTTTTCAGCTTGGCGGCTCTAACTCGGAGGAGGTGAAGAGGAGAGATATTGTCTTTACACAGGTGCAAACATTTCTGCTGTGAGAGATGCTCTGACAACTTCATATTATCAAGTTTGTTTCAAGCACATTTGAATCCCTCAATACGTTTGCTCCATCCTTGGCAACTCTTTCTGAGCCTCCCCCTGAAGCTAGGTTCATCTTGGCTAGCTCTTCATTCACAGCTCCGAGCCAGAGTCATTTTTGGACTTCCTGATTTACAAATTTTAGATTGGTGCTAAATCAGAAGATTATAGGGATTACATCTTCAGGCCACTCGTCACGCAAACCTTTATCAACAAACCTTAAAACAGCCTGATGGAAATTAGCTCTAAAACGACAGATGCAACTTGTTTTTAATAAGTCAAACGACCGAGTTATGAGACTGTTGGTTGACCTCACAGCTGTAAACAGATCGAACATCTGTTTTGAGATAACACTATCGGCTCAGCGAACTTCCCTTAGATCCCTTGCATCCAAACACCTTGCTGGCAAGTGCACACACATTACAAGGGATTCGGGGGGGCCCCAGGCAAAAGGGACGCCCGCCACCATCCAATACACATCATGCACACACATTTAGACATTCTAGTCTTCAACCAAACCTCCAGAAATATAAATCTTTTGGCACAAAGCTAGCAGCATGGGGCCTCCTTATAGGGGGTTTCCAACAATTGGGTTATTGCAGTCTCCTGTACATAGAATTTTAAGGGGGTTCTCACAAACTCTTTGTTGCTGTGGACTAGTGTAATCACCTGTTCTCAGGGGCCCCCTCTCAGCTTGGGGGCCCCATCATCTGCCTTCCCTACCGTGCTGCCGTGCCTCTGAACTTGAGTTATACAGCTGTTTCCAAGGTCAGCTATGAACTTTCATGCTCAACTTCACTTTTATTTTTGACTTGTGAGAGATGTTTTACTTTCAACTTTCTCACATCACCTCTACCGCTCTCATCACCATTTCCTCTCTCCTCTTCTGTCCACCCATCTTTCAAAAAGCAGGGATGAATGGAGGTGCTGAGCAGAGGAGTGAGGTATGTCATTTAAAGTCAAGTCATCCGCATGAAGGGAAGAATAAAGAAAGCAAGTCGGAGAAAGTTAATGATTTATGCTGTCATTCGGTTGACCGCGACTGAGGCAGCCTCTGCCTGACGATCCAATCAGTGTGACGAGATCGCTCCATCCGCTCATTTCGTCTGGATGAGTGGACTTGTACTGCCCTTTTCCGCTCGCCACCTCCCTCCTTCCTTTGTTTTTTTAAATGAGGGCCGGAAGAAACTGAGGTTGATGCTAAGTGACAGGACAGCAGAGGTTTAGAGAACTAAAATGTCCCCATTTGGACATGTTTTTGTAAAAACTGTCCTGTTGTGCCGATAATAATTTCATTTTCACACAGTAAAAGCTCTGGAATTCACAATTATTCATATGATAAGAAGGACACACACAGTTCAGCTAAAGTCAAGAGAGGAGGCGAGAGAATAATGATGTCTGCAGAGAGGATGGTTTTCACTTTGTGAGGGAGTGAATGCATGAACAAGTGGATTAATGAACCAGTGAATGTGAGTCCAAAAGCAGCCAGAGCGTGCTGTGTTTTCTGGAGCCGTCTAAGAATGACAGATATTTCCGATATAAGCTGCTCTGCCTTTGATTGGCAGAGTTGATTGAATTCCACTTAGAGCCGCTGTCGTCCTGTCCTCTTTTCTAACTCGCAGATTTCCCTCAGCGAGTAATCCAGCTCTTTGAAAACTGTTTGATGAAAGAAATTTGGCCAGATCAATCAGGATCAATTAGCCAAAACACACGGGTGAATGTTTTTCACTGGAAGCAGCCAAACACAGCCTGCGTGCCCAAAACTATAATAAAGACAGACTTAATAATAATAGAGTTTATTATGCACATAGATATGGTTTATTAGACAAGGTTATGAGATCTGTACAACTGAGACTTCAGCCTGCTCATTAAAGGTTAATGAAATTTAATTTTGAATGCTTAAAACTATTGGCTTATGAAATAAAGAATATTGATTGATCAATCTTTTCTTCTTTTTTCAATTAACATTTGTGATGAACAGCTTACCTTTAAAAAAAAGTTGTTTTTGTTTTCGGATATCCTCTGTGCACTCAGCCTTGAATCAATAGCACAGGTTTTGTTGTAAAAGAGACAGAGAGTGACAAAGGGCTGTGTCGGAATTGAACGTGCAGCCTTGACAGATGTCTGGCATTTTTTTATTTAATTAAGAACTAGATTTTTGTTCTTTTTTGTGAACTGACGTGTGTGTGGATTCATGACACTGGGTTGAGGCAAAAATCTTGGAATCACCTTCGGGGATTTCAGGAAGTCAGCATGTACACAATCATCTGAATCACACACACATAGTTTACATTTTAGAGAAAGTAAACACATTGCCAGTTTAATATCAGTCTTTGCTGGTGACACCAAATTGATGCTTTACATTTGTACACACACTTTTTTTAACCTGATAGCAATGTGCCTCACCTGGTGATCTGAAGGTCCACGCCTCGTCGTCATCAAAGTGCGTGTCCCCGGCGGTGAACCTCTCTCCTGGGAAAAACGCGTGCGCCACTGTGCCCCCCGGCCCGTCAAACGGATATCCGTCGTCATGGTCGGCTTTAGTGAAGTCGATCTGAATGTCTGCGTCGCTGCCGGCCACCTCGTGGAAGTTCAGCGGTGCGATGTCGCTCCAGACTTTCAAGGCGTAGTACATCAGGGCTCGAACGGTGTCCCTGCCCAGTAAGGCTGAATCCTTAGGGTAGGTCCTCACTCTGAGAGAAGGGAAGGAGAGGAGGGATATATTACATTTGAGAAGGAGAGAGAAGAGGGGATGAGGAGGTGGAGGAGGACACAGAGAGAGAAGACAGTTGACAGGACAGACAAACAAGAGAAGAGAGATGCTGGCAAAATGAGAGGAAAAAGAATTATGATGGACAAAAAAAACAATAGGACAAAAAAAAAATGAAAGGAGGAAAGGTCAAGAGAGTTGAAATCTGTGGGAGTAGATAAGAGAAGAGGACGAGTGTGCCAAGTACAAGGGTGACACATCAGAGATGAACATGAAAACGGAGAAGAGACGAGAAAAGTAGGAGGGTGGAAAAGAAGAATGACAGTGGAGAGCTCAGGAGAGGTTGGCACACAGTCGATATTGGAAGGACGCTGAGCTCTGAATTGCATTGAAGCACAAAAGCATAAAGATCAAATATGTTTGCCTCTGGGACAGACCTGCATGAACAAACCAAAGTTACTGTTTGCATATTTTATGTGATCTGTTTTTGTATTTCATGCTTTGCTGCTCCTGCCGCTCACATATACTGATAAGTCAAGGCTACAGTGTGAATTGGAAGAGATTATTGCATCAGCTCCCTGGAACCACTCATAAGTTTTTCACTGTCTTTTCCTTTTCATACCATCTTATTTAATTTTCTTCCATCCTCACATCATTTTAACATCTCTCAAGCAATTTCTCTCTGAAGGCCATCGACACAGAAGAAGAGAGAACAGGAAATCACGCCGACGTCGCGCTTACTTTGTCTACCCACTCTCCATCTAAATCTCCCCTGCATTTTCTTGTTCTCATTTTTTTTTTTTCCACCGTTCTTCCATTTCCTACTTTATGCACTTGACTACTTTCTCCCCCACGAGAGAAATTTGTCAAAAAACAAGAAGCAATTTGGCCATTGCAGGATTGGAAATTCAATCAGTGTTCATCTGTAGGAAAGCAGGGCTCTGGGCCTGGAGAGCGAGGGTGCCTCGTCTCGCCTCCACACTGAGGTAACAAACTGATAGAAATCAGCTGATACTAAAATATCAAGTGAACAAAACATCGGAGCAGATATATCACTGATTGATGCAACACATTTAAAACTGATACGACAGAGAAATGCCTATTTTCTTCCATCAACATCCTGATGTATTGAATATAACTAATAAGGTGTTCAAGGTTGTGCTGGTAGCATCCATCACAGTACTACACAATACAGTTTATTGACATTGCTCTCAAGTGTTGTGACAACCTGTAAACAACCTGTGCTGCTCTTTTGTGCAGCAATTTGCATGAAAAAGGAAACAAACACAAAACTGGGTGAAATAGTAAATGGAGCGTAAGCAACAAGAAGTCTGCAGGGGGAGGTGAGCGTGAGGTGACTTTTCAGTAAATCCTGGATAAATAGGTTTATAAATGAATTCTCTCCTACTCAAGCGATGCCATACTGTTGTTCAAACTGTTCAAATTAAAACACCAAAAAATAATCGTAATCACTTCCTGTGCAAGAGATCAAAATAACTTCCAAAATAACAGTGCCAGAGAATTAAAACCCTGATGATCCCAAAGGATATTAATTCAAGCTAGTTACCAAATAAATAAATTATGTGTACATGTCGCAATGTTTCCTGTGTTGCTGTTAGTTGACTTTATGTAAGTGATGCTAATCTTTCATGACGGGTCATGTGGAGACAAAGGAAATCAGTTTAAGGGAAATTAGTTAAGTATTTTTTTGCATATCTTGAAATGACCCTTCTCTGCATCTCGTGACCCACAGGGTGACCCGACCCTTAGTTTAGAAACCACTGCATTAAGCAACAATATAGGTTTTCAAGTTATTCATGCATCTTAATTATTAAACCACATCAGTATTGACCCCCGAGTTAACCAGGACTGAACATTTCAAAAAAACCTGAACCTTCATGGTGCATGTGAAAATCTCCCTCCACAACAGTTACATCACAAAAGCCTTATTATTTTTGATTGGTTCAGACAAGCTGCTCCAGCTAAGGGGCCGTCAAACTCGGTCTGTGCAAATCACGTTCAACATTCAGGTCACAAATAAGTTCAGAGACTGAAGCTCTGTCACTGCAAACAATGAGATTCACAAAAGCCCTCTGTTGTTGTTTCACCTCTTCCAGCCAAGTTTCTGTCAAACAAACATATTTGTATATGACATTTCTTTCAAATCATACTTGAATTCTTTACGATTAAGGACTTCCCGCTGAGAACTGGTGACTCATTCCTCTGACTGGAGCTTCACCCTCAGTTTTCTTTGTAATGAACGTACCGAAAGACCACAGAGTCTGAGGTGCCAGCTGGTTGCAATGGCAGTACAGAGGGATTATCTTACTTCAGTCCTGGACTCTCATCACAGAGAGTGAAGTTGTGCCAAACCTGACGGCTCACAGCTCACAGCGGTTTGAAAGTTAATGCTCACCCTCTACAAACAACCCTAGTTGTAATTCAGCCGAGCGAGGCCGCACGGCACGGTGACACCAGCTATTTCATTTTGGAGGAACTCGCTGCACGTGTCCAATTGCCCAAAGCAATAACGGGGTAGAGAATGAATAAAAAGATACAGGCAATGAGTAGATAATGACGCAGGGAAAGGGAGATAAAATATGTTTGAAAACAGAGGAGTAGCATGAGGGAGGGTGAGATGAGAGGGGCTAACAGGCAGAAACACAGACTCTCTGCTATTTCAGAAATATTTCTGACAGCTCCCCATGGCTCCGACTTCCACAGCGCTAACTACAGAATCACACAGTTGCATAAGAATGACAAGTTCCTTAAGTTCCAGCTTTTCTCCAGGCTACTTCACTGGGAGATAAGTGATCACACAGACACATTTCCATCCCCGGCAGTGTATCTGATGTGTCCTTTTCCTTATCCACGCAAAAAAATGTTCCTCGTTACAAGAGCTTTTTAAAAAGGTTCTTCTTTTGCAGACTTGTGAAGCAGGAAAGAAGTGCGGCTGAGAGAGAGAGAGGCGAGAGCACAGACTTCCGTCTTTATGCTGATGTTACGCGAGTGTATGTAAGAAGTGAAAATTTCACAGTTTGAAGAAATAAAACTTTTGTGAATGCTCCTTCGTCAATAGGAACTTACATCATCTTAGCACATTGCATTGAGTCACCGTGTCTTTAAATTCATTCATTCATTTTACTTTTAAACCCAAAACAAAACTGCCCACTGCCTTCAGCTTTAGTTGTTTTTATATGAATGCAATAAATGCACATTATCACCTGTAAATCAAAATAAACACAAAAAAACACTCTCAAGCATAAAAAAAGAGGGTGTGGTTTCTACCAGTGGTGTGCTCAGAGCCTCATCAGGCTGCATGAAGCCCAGATAAGCTCCATCTAATGATGGTAAGTTCAGAGAGACAAAATCCAGGGTGTCCACCTTTAATTAAAATTTAATTATTTTAAGCACAAGATAATTAATGGAATCTGGTCTTGGGAAATTTTTTTAGCAAAATGTTGAAGCATAGCTGCAAAACTTTAGATGTAGGGAGGAGAAAACTGGGATAAGTGAAGAGGTCATGGGGCATTTACAGTATAGATGTAATGCTGTGTATGGTTAGAAAAGATAATGGTCATGGTAAATGAACTATGACTAAATTATAGGTAGGGTTACACAGCTAAAGTATTATGGTTATACACGTGTACCATGTATGGAGTATATAATATACTTAATTTAAAAACAAAGGTTTTTTGTTGCAGGTCTAGAACCGATGCAAACTCTGCATAAAAGATGGATGTGCTTCAACATCCACACCATAACTCTCTATCTCTCTAAGTGCTCACAACTTCCTGGATCAGCAATGGATGTCGGCATTTGTCACAGAATCACTGAAAATAGATATAATTCTCAGAAATAATGAGAAGAACCTGCAATGCTGAAGATGTATTCCAGACTTCTGATGTTGATTCCTCATGTTTATATTTTTGGCATCCTAATCAAACTCTAAACTTTGCCAACTGGAGTTCTTTCTGACTTTTTGTGTGGCCTGATTCATCGACGCCGTGTTTCCACACCACCTTCCACAACACATCTGACACATTTACAGTAAATCAAACATCCTCTCGGGCAATAAAAGGTTTTTCATTTCTGCTCAAGGAGTAATTTCATCTCAAAGTCATATTTCAGGTCACTATTTCACCTGTGATGACAGAACAGAGAGTAGAGGGAACAAGCAAGAAACTGGTCTCCAACGTATTTTTTCTGGTTGCAGGAGGAAACTGCTCTGAAGAACTGGAAAAAGTGATTCAACCGACTTTTAAATTAGTTGTGCAGACCGAAGGATGATTAAGGGGGACTTCATTTTCTCGACCTATTTAATTTCATGACACAATTTCCTCCCTCATTTGATAAATGACTTAGAGCACATTTGGCTTTTGTGTATGTGTGCATGCAATTTGCGTACAAGCTTAATCGGATGTGGAGAGACACAAACACACACACACACACAAAAATTGCAATTACATTTTACCTGTTTGGCTTTTAAGTTCCGTACACTTCTCACAGAGCTTTTCCACATGTGGGATCTGACTGATGAGTCATTATTAGAGAGGTGAGGAGCGAGGGATGGAGAGAGGGAGAGAAAGAGATCAAGAAAACTTGGAGACTCTTGCTGTCCCCCGCCTTCAGCCTCCCAGCAGGCGCTTACCTCCCGTGGCTCTGCTGTTCCACAGAGACATGAGCTGACATCGAAAGCGATGCTAAAAAGCGCGGGTGCAAGAAAACGCACCCTCACACACTCATGCACGTATAATATTCACCTCCTGTGCTCCTCTACCCTCTGTAGACATAAGCTGATTACCCTGCAAAATGAAAGCTCATATGCCGATGGTGATTCATACGCTCGTATGCGAAAACACACTCACACATATGAAAATATTTTGCTGACAAAGACTCATGCTGTGAGTGATCAGAAGCTCCTCAGACTTCCCTGAAACACACACACGCACGTGCACGTCCTCTCAGTGGGGCTGAGGGTGAAAGACACTAAATTAAGAGGCTCCGCATGAGTCTCCCCTCCGTCCACAAATCCTTTTTTCTCCTCTTTCCAGTCTGCATCTTCCTCTTCGCTCATCAGTCAATTTAGACAATTAAGGTCTTCGCACAAGGAAATCTACTCATTTGAAAATAAATACGACCTCACAATGTGTCCATCACGTTTACACACGAAACTTCCATCCTTCGTTTTCAGAACAGGTTTCTATTTACATTTTTTGCTGCGTTGCGTTTTTTGCATCTGTCAAAAGTGTTGCAGAGAGTTGTTTGAGCTGTTCAGGATCAACTGGATCAATGTTGTTGTCTTTTCTTTTCCCATGCGGCCTAAGAGCTAGTAGCGCATCTACCTGGACACCTGACATCGGCTTCTCCAGACTGGTGTTGAGGACAAACTTAGTGTGCAAAGATGAGGTGAGGTGGAATCTTGAAAAAAAAAATAATGATGGGTCCTAATAAGATAGCGCTTAATAAAAACATTACAGTTCTTAAGGTCCCACCGAGCAATTTCACAGGTTGGTGACTTCAAATGGCAAAGAGGAGATGAATTCAGTGGGCGTCAATAAACTGTCTCTGTGCGGCTCAACTGCTTTTGAGATTCAGATGCAATCATGGATTTGTGATTGATATACGATTCCCTGACTAGAAGTAAATAGCCAATTCAAAGAGAGAGAGGAGCTAATGTGATTAACCCAGCTTATCCAAACTGCATGTAAACAAGAATGTATTTTTGGAAAAATGCTATTATTTTTTATACTGAAGGATAAAATAAGAGCAGTTCCTGTTTCCTTAACAATTTTATTCCCACACCATATTTTCCATTGAGGGTGATGTGGCTGTGGAACGCTCTATAATGAACAGTGAAATTTCTGTTTCCCTGCAGATAAAGCAGACCATCCCTGTGTGTAACAGAGTGTGTGCACGTTCTGCAACCACCAATGTAAGTGCATATTACTTGACAGACAAATGCTGAACCACTGACTTCAAACCAGGTTTTTGCTCAGAAGTTTGCAATGTGCCAACAATGAACCAGACCACACCTCTGTTGAAGACCAACATCTCCATGGGCGCCAGCAAAATGTTTGTTTAGCGTCAGTCTATATTATATATAAAGATTTCCAGAAATTAAGCCAAAATATATCGGAACTTGCTTTTCTCAGTTTATAAATAGCAACTGTTTGTCCAGTGAATCACCTGATAAATACTCAGCTATATAGATGTCCCATTATTCCACATGTGCCAAAGGAATAAGAGAATAAAAACAAATTGCCACGACTGGTCATTACCGTGAGCAGCTTTATGTGATTACCTCTTACTGCCCCAGAGCTACTTCTACGACTAAACTACACAATACCTCTGATACAGCTGTGGAATTTCTTAACGCTCGCTAACAGCTATGAACTACGGCTATAATTAGTACTATGATGGACCCCTGCTGCTGTGTTATGACTGTGGTTTCCCTCAAAACTCTTAATACCAGCCACCTTCCACTTTAAATGTAGCTCTGCTGTTTTCAAAAGGCCCTCGATGGGTTTGCAGAGCTTGGCGACAGCTCCACCGTGAAGGTCTCATAAAACGATGGAGCTTAAATGTTAATACAATGAAAACACAATTTAGATTATGATGCCAATGCAGACCTTTATCCATGGATCATTAGAATTTCTGCATTTCTCATTCTCGGTTCATTTATTTCAAAAGAGGAAACTGTGCGAGCCTAAAGAGATGGATGAGAGTTTGTGATTTTGCGATCCAGCATTACTGCGTCAACCTCACCTGCTTTATTAGATTAAACAGACGCACAAAGAATAAGATGCAATCTTCTTCCTCGCGTTAACTTTCTTTCTTCGTCATTATCGTGATTCATCCTCCGCCCGATCTTTTCACTCCTCCACTCAGCGCGCTACACCTATCAGTTTGAGTTGTCAGTCGGGCTGCTAATGACTCCAGGCTGTCTGCTGTGATAGTGGGCTAACAATATGAGATAATGAGCTAACAGTGGGGTGTTACACCACTCGGCTGTTAGCGTCTGTATCACACTTGGGTGAGTGCGGTGTGTGTGTGTGTAAAAGAACAAGAGACAGGTAAGGCAGGGTTAAACTAGGATTAAGGACTCAGCCTTTGCCACAAACTCTCCCACACATCATGAAATCATTTAATACGTCGACTGTGGAAAAAAAAAACCATTAAGCTACTTGGGAGTCCAGCCTGACTCCTTATCTTTTCTTTCTTCTATGAAAGAAGTAACACTCTCCACTCGCTCTGCATGTAATGATATGATTGACGTGTTTGTGAACAGGAAGCAACCAACAGAGTTTTTACGCATCTCTGTTTCCCATACATTGAATTATTTGCAGCCACACCCACAATATTTCCATGGAACCCCCCCCACAGGTTGATTTACTTTTTGCCAATCTTACTTAATTATTATAATAAACTTGTGCGATTGATCGCTCCTGGCTCCACTTGATCCCTCTCTCCTTCTCAGACACAAACACATTGACAGTCGATACATCCGTACAGTCAGAGCTTCCTTTGGGTTTTGATGCAATCGACCAAGGCTGCTGGGCAAACTCCCATGATGCACTGAGCACTCTTCATCTCTGTGGCATGTGCACAGACTCATAAACCTGACTATGATCTGAACATGACAGTTGCCTGATAACTGTTTTGTTTTGGCTATACAACAGAATAATTAAAATTTATATATTTCTGCAGCATGTGTGTTTGGGTGATATAAATATTTGGATTTTTCTGTCGGATTAGCATACTTACATTTAGTATGCCTGTCATATTGCATCTGATTCATTAGCTGCTTCACGCATTATCTCTATTCTGTCAGCCTTGTTGCTGGCCCATATAATCTAATGAGATACCATGAAATATTAGATGATAAAAATATTTTTTCTAACCCCGGCAGGAGGGAATCACTGTGCGAGTGCTAGAACATCAACTGAAGACTGATGCTGAGAGCACACAGGAGAATTACAGTGGAGGCCAACCTATGCAGAATATGAATGTTTTTGTTATGGCGCTTTTACCCTGAAAATCTGTTCTGTATGGAAATCTCACCGGATCTGAAGTTAGAACATAATCCACAACTGTTCCCGTGCACTGTTCTACAAATCTGAGTGCTGCGAATACAAAAGTGCTTCACTGGACTGAAGACAAGCCCGTCTTATTTCAGAGTGGAGGGAGCCGACAGGAGCGCATGACTGGCAGCAGCACAAAGAGGAGAAAGAAAGGTAAAGCCCACCAGGAGGGAAGCAGTGCACGTGCACGCACACACACACCTGTGTAGATGCTGCTCTATATAGGCGTGTGTTTGGTTTTCCTCATTTCTCAATTCATGTATGCATTCGTATTCAGCGCACACGCAAACACTGGCCCACACGCGGCTTATGGCAGCTCATTGTTGAATCAGGACTGGTGCTGTATGAATCAGACAAGACCACCCGATGTTTCACTGCCGCCTCCTCCTCCTCCTCCTCCTCCTCCTCCTCTGCTATCTGACACTGTTCTGTGGTTTCTCACATGATATATGAGTTTCTAGACAATTTAACTTTCGGTCCACAACAAATGTAACTTTTATCAATTATGCACAATGTTCTACTCCTGAGGAAAGTTCAGCACGCAGCCACGTTTTTATTATTAAACAACATCTTATGTTGGATGTTTTATGCACTAGTACGGTGTCTGTTCTAAATCCTCTCAAACTTCTACAAAGTTATGATAAACATGAGGTTGGAAAACTTTGTGTTCATCCTACCTGGTTTATCCGCAATGATTTTACAGTCAGTGTTTTTCATAAAATGAAAACGAATTTGCTTTCTTTGTTATTACTTTATATAAGTTTGAATGATTTTCTAAGCTGCTGTTATTTTTTTCAAACGTTGCATGTCGGCTTTCTCAGTGATCTGTTAAGTAATTCACACATCAGCCATCACATCTTCAGACCTTAGTTCACACACGATGTTTCATAAGATGTGTGTTCTACATAGAGACAGATGTATGTGGAGGTGGTAGATGTTTCCAGAGAACTGGAACGGGAGTTTTAAACGGTCTCTCTCCAAGATCTCACAACTTTTACTTTTTTGAGCCAGAATTGATCTGTTTTCCAGCTGAAGGAAGAATCCTCTATAATCTAATCTATCAAAGGATGAACAGATGAAACAAAATTGGGATTACCTGGGATTTGAGCAAACTGCCCTGCATTAATGAGACATATTGGACTGAATCTGAATGTGCAGACCTGCTCGGATCAATTTATCTAATCTCAAACAAACTGAGCTGAAGCACAAATTGTATGAAACAAAATATCAAGTCAACCGAATGATTCCTCTTCTTATGTTTAATTGGTTCCTACCTCCAGGAGAGATGCCTTTTATTCCATTTGTTCTGTGGAATGAGGCTTCGTTTCCTGCGGCCCACTGTCCCCTCAGACACATCTGGCAGAGAACATCTGGGTGTTTTCATTAAACCCAATGTGGCTTGGTCTAAAAAAAGGAGAGGAGAAAAGTGGCTGATTCACTGAGAGAGTTTATAGTTGATCATTCCATATTTAATTGCCTACATCCAGAAAACCAGCCCCTAACATAACAAACACAGCCCACATACCAAAGACTCCGGTCTCCTTCAGGCCTCCGAACCTCTGCATGGCTTTGATGGCCTTGGTCAGGGCCTCCTTGGTCTGGAGCTGACCAGTCACCGGGTCGGGGGGCGGGAGGTAGCCAAACTTGCTCAGCCAGTCCTGCAGAGGGAAACAGTAGACGCAGAGTTCAAGAGTCGTCGCAGGCATTTCAATGACTCCACGTATCCCACAGCTGCTGAGACGGTCCGACACCTGTTGGTGTTTACGCTCTGTGGATTCAGTGTCTGTACATGAGTGCATTCAAGTTGTGTGTGTGTGAGTTTGTGTGTATGTCTGAGCAAACAAGCTAGAGACAGACGTTTAAAAAGACAGTGATGAATTGATAGAAGATTGTCTCTGGTTAAAAATAAATTGATCCTGTGTCTCAGCCTCTGCACATTAAAAAAGATTCTTTCCACCCTGTACCTCACACTCTTAATATTTCCATCTTTTTCATGTGTATGTTGATATCTGTGAGGTAGAGGTGGTTGCTGATGGAGTTTCCTCAGAAACACAGATAACAAATGATAGATATACGTATTTAAAATTCATCCGTCTATATCACCTATACCACTCATCCTTTGAGGGTCTCCGGCGGCTTGAGCCAATCCATGTTTTTTCTTAATAAATTCAAATTTAGTGTCCAACTAGAATGTCACTCAGTGTAATGTACACCCCCACCAAGGCCCAACAATCCTCTTGTGAAACCAAATTTAAATTCACCAGAGGCAGATGCATGATTTGTTTCATCAAGATCCATGAACCCTTGTAATACAGATACAAGATTATTTCAAAGAGTGATATGGATGCATGAGGAGACACACACCAGCAGATATAGACCCCACGTGTATATAAAAAGGTAGAACTGCAACTCCGTCTCCATCTGGGGCCTGTGAGGCTGCTGTCAATCAAAGCTGCCCAGCTGAGAGCATTGATTGGTTTTGGATCTTATAAGATCTGACGGATGGAAGCATCTGAGCTGCAACCTGAGCGCTGAGCTTTTCTTCTCTTTTTTTTCTAACCCTTTCTCCCCCGAGGCCTCTCTTTTTGTCTGGTGTCTCTCTCTCCCCTCTTCCCTTCATCTGTCTCAGCTTCGCTAAAGCCCCCTGCTCCCTCACGATCTGACGGCCAATGGGAGACGGCAGATTGTAAATAGGTTTTTGACCCGTGCTCATCAGAGGTGAACGACACTGATCGATGGCCAGGCATCACTCCTTTATTGACAGAGCAAGGGAAATCCCATTAACTGAATGACTTAGCTTTAGTGAAGCTCTCTGCTGGCTGATATTTGCCTCCTCGTGCTTTGGCTTTGCTATCCCTGCACAGAGCTCGGGAAGAGTGCAAGTGTTCAGGGGAATTGAATTGACCCATAGCAACAACAATTTCCTGAAGGAGTTTCAAACCGTTACAACAGGGCTAAGTGGGAGCCGTTTAAAAGGATTACAGCAATATTTAAGTGACTCTCTGAATCAACAAAGAACTCAAAATGATGACACAGTTTTCCGGAGTTACAGGAAAACACTTAAAATAATCCAATGAAACTGGAATTAAGCAAATGGTCATTTCAACCAAAGGTCTTATTTTTGTCTCATCAGCAGTAACACTATTCTCACCAACATTGCTACAGACGCCTGACAGGATAAGAAACATTAAACAGGTTTTAACAAACAGCTCAGCCAAACTTGTTTGAAAGAGAGAATGAAAGTGAATGGTGAAGGATCTGTTTGTGTGCTCAAAACTTTTACTGCGCACCAATTTTAACCAATAACTGAAATATGTTATTCTACAAGCCAGACAATATGCATAACAAATATGTCCCCACAATCCAATGGGCAAAGGAAATGGAGGAGCTGCTTGGAGTTGGGAAAAAAAATGTGATTGAATGTGATGACTGTGGGTGAGACAGCTCCAGAAAAATAAAGGCATTGTGCACAGCATGTACTTCAAAGCTACTGTTTTATTTTCATTCTATTTTTCATTTTGGGTTTTAATGCAATGTCCACCGATGCTGATACTCTCAATAATGATGAGAAGAGAATATTTATTACTGCACAAACAGGTTAGGAGTTCAATCTCTATATAAAAAGCGCTTTTTATACAGAGGAAAAAGTTAAACATGAAGTAAAAGTCTGAAATGTGTACATCAGTGTGCAGTTTGTAAATGTCCATGCGTCCATACGGACAAGAGGAAGTTTCAGTTGTTCCCTCTGAGGAAGGTGTGCCAGTGATGGATTACATCTGTGCTGTCAACACGACCGCAACCCTGTTTTCACACTGCCCATAAAGTCACCACATAAAACTTTTTTCTGTGGAGCCAGCAGCTAATTTAAACCTGACATCGTAGCTCAGAGGAACCGAGTTCAGTAACCTGCTGGACACTTTTAAATCATATACAGGGAGGCCCCTGTGTATAGGTGAGATTGGGTTTAAGTTAAAAAGTTTGCTCAAGTTGTACAAGTTCAAATAAAGAAAAAACTAATTAATTCTGAATGAAGAGAATAATAAATTCAAGCACACTTTAAGTAAAACAGCAACATTTTGTTCTATCACAAATTAGACCCCAGATTTAAAACAGCAAGAATTAAAAATGCATCTCTCCTGGGGTCCTCACCATCTACAGGCCAGAGTGTGTTGAACAAATTCATCTTCATTCATCATCCTCTCCAATTCTGACAAACCACATAAACATACATGTACAGTGGGTTCAAAAGTGTTAACCATGAATGGGAGAGACTTTGGGACCCCTCTGTATATATACATACTGTATATACGCAGTGTGAATGCATTAAAACTGATATCTAACACCTGTGTATAACCAAACTGAATCCCAAATGAGAAGCCTTCTTTAAAGCCTTTGATGCCACTGCGCTAACTTATTCTCTCTGCAGTGTTTTTATTGCCGTGTTCTGCATAACCGAGCGGACGTCCGCTTCTCTTGTGAAGACTTGTAAAGCAGAACTAAAGACGATGTCGACAGGCGCAGAGTAAAGTTCGGCCGCTGCTTCGAGCGTTTTTCATTTTGATGTTCTCATAATAATTTATTCAGGAAGAAGTGAGCATGTGAAAGAAAGTTACAGAGACAAAGCTGTCAAAATAAACAAGACGTTAAGGTTATATAAACAACAACTACAAAAGTCATACAATTCTCATTAAAGACACAATTATTTTAAGTTTAGCTCTAAAAACAAGAAAAGTTGAGAAGTCACTTTACTTTTGACAGTTTTTTCTGCACATGCAAGTTTATAGAGCAAAAGTACGACGTGCATTGAATCCCAGTTTAAATCTGTTTGATTACCTGAGTTAAATTCTGATATTTTGGTTTCCATGTCTGTGGTCACCTGTGCATGCTTGTCAAGTCACAACATAACTACACATGTTTGGCATGTATGGATTAATATGTTGTTTTGAATAACACTTACTTGTAAGTATAAGCATTATATTCCAAGAACCTGGACTGTATTTGTACGTACAAATGTAATTTCTTTTGTCAGCATAAACTAATTGAATAAATCATATGATTAAATTATTTAGTTTTCAGTGAATGTCACAAAACAGATCAGATGGAATGAGCTCACAGTCAAAACTTCACACCCTGTTTCTGTTTAAATTCACAAAATTCATCTGACGTTCATTTATTAACAAAAATAAAGGAAAGAGGATTCTCCAAACAAGCTGCTGACTAATGTGATGGCAAGATGAGTAACACAAAGAACAGTATCGCTGCAAGTTCCACAACACCAACAAAACTGTCCTTTTTTCTGTTTTCCTCTCATATTGAGTGAGAGCAGCGGCTCAGCTGCAGCTCAGAAGCCCTGAATCCAAAGCATTCAGTGAGTCCTGCAGGTCAAATGCTTGCTGACGTGGGGGCTTGACCTCATGTCCTAACTCAGGCCCAGGGGGGTCTCCACCACTTAGCTCCACGCTGCTCAAATGACCAGACCTGGTATATTATCACTTCACGGTCAGGGCTCCTCGCGAGGAAGAAAAAACGTCCAGCAAGAATTTAGTGAAAGTACCTTGAAGAAGTCATAGGCCGTTTTTTCTGGAGCAGGAATCCAGAAACTGAAGCTGCTGCACGGAGCAGACACTTCAAGTTTATAGCTGCAGTGGAGGACTAAGTATTGACTCAGTATTTTAGAGGTTCTTATTCGATGACTGTCCTATGGCTCCAATGCTGGAACACAAAATTCACCAAATTTGTTTTCTAGAGCCAACCTCTAAGATGGACTGTTTCCCAAGATCCCTTTCAAAACGGAACCCCCTCAGGCTGTATGCCCTTTACGTCATGGTCAGGGTGAAAGAAGCACATAAGTATCTGTTTCGTGTCAGCGCTGCAAAGGATCAAAGCCACTGTCAAGAAGAGTGGCTGCAGAATGTCACACTTTCATGTTGAAGTAAAAGACAAACCACTGCTCCTAGTTTGTAGGGACGTCCCTGCAGTGATGATAAATGTCAATCACTGGATGAGCTACAAGGACAAACAAGGTTAACGCACTTCAGCAGAGTTTGGATTCCCACCACCACGTTCAAAGATGTGTTTGGTAGTGAGCGCTCTAATAGTTGAATAAGTTAAAACTGCTGTTGTGGAGCTGCTTGAACCGGACAAGGTAAAATTGTCCAAAGTGTCAGTTTGTCTCCGAGCAGATAACTGAGATTCAGTTTGAGCGGGTTGTTTGGGATAAAAGCAGCTGCGACGCCAGACAGAAACAGTTCCAGCGATCGCACTAGTGATGCATGTGCTCCATAATTAAATATGGTCCGCGAAGGATGTTATAAAAAAAAGAAATGGCCCTTGATAGGAAAAAGGTTCCCCACCCTGTACTACAAGATACAGCTCATTAAGTTTAGCATTCAAACACACACACACACACTCGTTCAACAGCTCATGCACATGCTACAAACACAGTAAAACCATTTATCTATGTCCACGTTTGGACGATTAATTCACCAAGGACGAAACATGCACTGCACATATACACTCTGCGTTTCACCCTCTCACACATACACTCATCACTGAGGCGTGGGCTGACTATTAAAGCATCTGAGTTACTTCCAGTCTCTGCTACAGTATCTGGATGTGAAGGATCATTTATCTCTTCATCCAGGTTCCTGGAATCTGT